CCTTTTTGTCCTCTTAGTTTTCTTTTTAGTTTTGCAGAAGGCAGAGAAAAATTAGAGAAGATGCATGTTATACTGTCTTTTTAGAATTCTCTCTTTCTGCAAGTAGCTCTTGGAAATGTGTATTTCAAGAAAGTACAATTAACAACTCTCAAATATACTAAGCACTTAAAAAATCCTCAAACCACATGCATCCTTCTTACATATATTATACCTTTAAATAGTATTTTCTAAAGTCTCACTGATTTATTATTCCATAATTCCTGGCATACCTAGATTAGCTTTAAGACCTTCAAACAAAATCTTTCTTTGATGTCATTGTATTTACAAACCTCCCACAATCTCAGCATCAGAAAGTCTATTATTTTTAAATAAAAGGAATAGAGAAACTACCCAGTAAGTTGAAACAGCCTCCTTAATGGATCAGAAAAGTACAAGTTCTCATAACACTGGAATGCATGTGATTCTCTATCATTTGCCAGATAACATATGTTTTTTCACTTCCTCTGCTCTTTCAGCAATGACTCTAAAGCCAATAAACATGAATTTTCTAATACACCATAAAAGAAAATAAATTTACTAAAAAGCTACTGACATAGCTGTTACTAATTCATGACAATGTTCTCTTCAATATGCAATTACAAGTACATAACTTGTTAGACTTTTCATAAGAATGCACGTGCACTGTAAGAGAATGACCATCCCACATTTACACACTACAAGCTACAGCACACTCTGGCAGTGGAAGCAAGTTTAACCTACAAGCCCCAAACACATACAGAATGTACTGTGCTATATAACTCAAAACAAACACCTTCATTAAGTTCAAACTTTGAGTTGAACTGACAGCTGTCACCATCACCAAACTGTTAAGCTTTGCAGAAGCCAGTAAGGGAAATAATCTTTTATGTAGGAGTCCATGGAGGATAAGAAAGAGAATGTGGTGTTTCCGTCCCATCTAGGTAAAAAACACCAGGCAAATTGATGCCAACATGATGTGCTGATTTCTCCTAATTCAGATAATGTTGCAGCCTCCTCAGAGACAGAAAGAGGGAGAAAGAATATTACCTTTCAATACCCTACTTCAGCTAGAAGACAGGAAATCCTGACAAATCTGGCAACACAGTACTATAATTACGAGATATATTGTGCTAAAGAGAACCTTAACAATGAGTATTGAGAAGCATTATAACCATCAAAAAAAGCTTGAAAATAAAATTTGTAACCAGAATTAAACCTCTATTATCAAGGCAGGTCTATGACAAAGCTTTATTTCTTAATTCAGGATAAGTGAATGTCTCAGAAGACAGACATTTTGTCACACCCCCTTACCCTTAGGCCACAGAGGTGCAGTTATCAAAGAGTTACACATCATCAGATGCTAAATCTACCTAAAATTGTCAAGCTTACACCAAAGAGTGCAGAAATAGGACATAATCACCACCATCACTCAACAGTCGATGGACATTTGTAATCACACTGGTCTTTGCGAAAGCATAGTGAGAAAGACAGGAAAACACCCAATGAGTTCTCACTCGTTCCTCCATCTTATTCCATTTCTGGGTCATGCTGAAGATCTTCAGGAAAATAGATTCTTATTATGCTGAAACATCATCATAATAACTGATTAAGGCCAGTGGCCACTCAAAATTAACATGCAGTACCTCTACATGAAGAAACCAGGATGTTGCCATATCTGCAAAAATCAAAGCATTACTAAAATGTCTGCAGACATCACAAGACACCAAGAGTGCTTCTGCTGCTTCCCTTTTAGTTACCGCAAATTGCCTTGATCTACAATTTATTTCTGATTGTGTTCACTTTTACCTTCCTGTACCTTTTTTTTTTTAGGCATGCCATCAGTAATGCTTAAATTTTAACAAAGGTGTGTCTATAACAACTGGTAACAAACCAGAAGTTCAGCATCAAAAATAGGCCAAAGTTAAACAAATGCTGTTAATGACTTCAAAATTCTACTTAGGTCTTTCACTGCATAAATCTGCTCTACTTTCTAAAGTCTGATAACCCACTATTTTCCCACTGATTTTCCCTTTTCTTCATTTAACATTCTCCCATTTGTCTGCTCATATTTCTGATCTCACCCTGCATTATCTACCCTGAGGATGTGATATTTTATATGCAATATATTAATTAATGCAACAAATTCCATTTATTTGTCAGGATTCAGATTCTCCCTTACTGGTCAATCTGCACTGGAAGGCTGAGTCTTTTGTTCACAAGGAAAAGCCCAGACACATGCCCAGAACAAAGCAGTACTTCCAGAAGTGGTTGAAAAATATGTCTTTTAAGTAGATGGTTAATTCTTCTAATTGGTGAATTCCTACGGACTAGGAGGAACCACCAATACAGACTTACATGCAAGTTGATCCTTTTCACAGGACTAGACCCTATTATGGGCTACATCTGTGGAGAGTAGGGGGGAAATGGAGATAACTTGAATGATCACCATAGGAGTTCAAGATTTCCCAGAAGGAAAGAAATCCCCCATTATCCACATGCAGTCAAGAACATATGGGAACAAGTTGTGCAGCTATTTAATGGCTGGGTAGAGGCACAGCAAAGCACTAAGGCAGAAGGCTCTAGACAAACAGTGTACGAGGCAGTGCTTTGTCACCCGCTGGTCCCCAAACAAAGGTTACTGATGAACATGACTGCTTCAGTAATGCCCTCTGCTTGCAGAGAAAAGACTAGAGGGTTTAGAAGACTTCCAGGTATCATGATTGTGACTCAAATATAAAACAAATGTTCATCACCACCTCCCAGGCTGTGGAACAGAGGCAGATGTGACATGAGTAGCCTCCTTCAATATCTTGGTTTGTTTCCTATTCTCCAGGACCAGCAAAAACAGTACCACGGTTACCTCCTTCTCATGCTAGCTCTGAAGTTCATGAGCCCACCTGGAGCTGACTCATACCACAGATCCTGAAAAACAGTTTTGGCCAAACCAAAAACTATTTTCTACATTCTCATCACTCACTCCAACTCCTGGAGCAACATAAACGAAGCTGCCTGCTTCATGCTCACAATCTTTGAGCAGAAGATTTCCTTTCCTGGGGGAAAAGGTACATGGATTATTGTAGAAGGTGGACATGTTTGAAGTTTAAGCCCGCTACACAATGTAGAATTAAACTTGGACATCACTACAATGATCCTGGATTAAGCTGCAAGTAGAACCAGCTTCCTCTCCTGGCAGGCCATAGCATACTCACCGGCTATTCTTCCTGCGCACGTCTCTCATGCCTCCTTCTCATTCATGTCTGACTTTATTACTCCTGGTTCAATCATGAACATGACTATTTCTTTCTACTCTCTAAACAGGATTATGGCAGCATGGTGACACTTCCAAAATTCAGTGCACCGTTAGTGATATCCACGCCTATGACATCACAGTGCATGACAGGTGCAGCCCTAGAAAATCTGCGCTATTAATGCACCAAAACATTTAAAAAAATATTAAAAATCACAATTACAAGTGATTCGCTTTGAGACACTCAGGAACCCTTCGGGAGGTTTCTACCCGCTCCAATCGGAAGCAAACGGCCGCTGTCCGCCAGCCGGGCCGGGTGTGGGGCTGTGGCAGCGCTCCCCGCCGGCCCCGCCGCCTTTCAGCACCACGGACGCCCGCGGCGGGGCCGGGGCTGCCGCACCGCACGGCACCGCACCGCCGCTCGCTCCGCCCCGGGACATCGCCAACTCCTAAAATTATATCGTTGTCCTTCTCCTGGGCTTTCCTGGGGCCAGCGGTGCACGACGTTCTGAGGTCTTTTTGGGGTTTGGGTTTTTGGTGGCTTTTTTCCTCCATCGTGTTGAAAGAAAAAGAAAGGGCAGTGATGGGATTTTCTTTCTGGCTTGGGATACCAAATGAAAAGTTCCATAAGCTCAACCTGCCCAAGGTTTTATAGGTTAAATTGTATTAGGGCTGTAAAAAATGTGTACTTTTTGAGCTCCGAGTAAAATTTGGAAAAAAGAGAAAAACTTATATAGGGAAGGAAACGCCTTTTGTTCCAATCAGCTATTGTCAAACCCAAAATATCACCAATGACTCCTGACTTGAAAAGAAAAAAATTAATTTAGTAGGCCACCTGAAGATAAAGAAAGATGGATTTTTCATCAAATATACTGACGAAACACATTGCAGTTCTCCCTAGGTTTCCTCTTTAAGCAGTGGTTTTTCCCAAATTCATGTAAGCTCTGCACAAACTCAGAAGCATTCACAGGCCCAACTGCTGTGAATTTTCTTCTGATGGAAAAGGCTTTGTTCATTTCAAAGGTATACATTCTGCAATGCTTTTCCAAGCTAAAAGCAAAAGGGCTCTCTGTCAATTTCTGGTTCTCCAAAGCTTTCCTTCAACTTCACCTGCAAAGACTAAAAAGGGGTTTTTATGAACAAGTAGAACTTTTTTCTCTATTAGAACTAATCAGTTTCTTCAAAGGCAGGGTGAGTTGATTCACATCGTTATCAGAAAGCTCAGGAACCATCACAAAGACCCTGAAGTGCATGTTAATTGTATGTTACACTGGCTGCCCTTCTCTCTTGGCTCAGTTTGGGTCATGCTGGCCCTTCTCTCTGGCTCAGTTTGGGTCATGCTGCCTTCGGGACGGATCCTACCGGCTCTCTGAACATCATCTCAAGTCCTCAGAAGTATCACAGCTGGTTTAACTCCCTCTGAGGTTTAACCAGAGCTGACACTTGACTCCCTCTGAAGACCTGAGCTGTGCTCATTACCCACGCTGCAAGTGTTACGGGACAACGAACGCGTTTCTCAGAGCGCTTGTGAGACTGTCGGTACGAGGGCCGCGCTGACTAACTGCGCTCCGCCTGCCGCGCTCCCTGCTTGCCGCGGGAGTGCTGGAGAGCGGCGGCGGTGCCACGGAGCGCCGGCGTTCCAGGGCAGCGGCCCCGGAGGCCGGACCGTGCCGGGCCGAGCGGGGCCGGGCCGTGCCGGACAGTGCCGGGCCGAGCGGGGCCGTGTGGGGCTCACCTGGAGGAGGCGGCGGCCGCGCGCGGCGTGCTCGGGCATGCGCGCTCGGTACACGGCGCGCTCGAAGCGCGGCTCGTTGTCGTTGGCGTCCTCCACGCGCACGCTGAGGCGGCACGCGGCGGCGCGCGGGGGGACGCCGCCGTCCCGCGCCACCACGCGCAGCTCCAGCGCCGCCTGCCGCTCCCGGTCCAGGCGCGCGCGGGTGCTGACGGCGCCGCTCCGCGCGTCGATGCGCAGCAGGGCCAGGGCGGCCGCGTCGCCCTCCAGCGCGTACCGCACCTCGGCGTTGGGCGAGCCCGGCTCGTCGGCGTCCGAGGCGCTGAGGCGGAGCACGGCGGTGCCGGGGGAGGCGGCCTCCGAGACGGCGGCGCGGTAGTGGGGCTGCGGGAACGCGGGCGTCTCGTCGTTGAGGTCGGCGACGCGCAGCAGCAGCGGCTCCTCGGCGGAGAGCGGCGGCGTGCCGCCGTCCGTGGCCACCAGCCGCAGCTCGTACAGGTCGCGGCTCTCGCGGTCCAGCGGCCCCGCCACGCAGAGGAAGAAGACGCCGGCCCCGGCCGTCCGCAAGGCGAAGGCGCCGTCGCCGCCCAGCAGGGCCAGCGCGATGCCGCCGCCGTCGCCCTCCTCGTCCTCCTCGTCGCCGCCCTCGTCGGCGTCTGAGACGGAGACTCGGGCCACGTAGTCGCCGGGCCGCGCCCCTTCGGAGACCCGCGGGCCGCCGGTCTCGGTGAGGTAGAGCAGACGGATGGAGGGCCGGTTGTCGTTCACGTCCAGCACGGCCACGGAGACGAGGACGCTGGAGACCTCGGGCTGGGCGCCGCCGTCCCGCGCCTCCACGACCAGGCGGTGCAGGGCCCGCGTCTCGCGGTCCAGCGGGCGGCGGAGGCGCAGGACGCCGCTGCGCTCCTCCACCGCGAAGTAGCCGTCGGGGTCGCTCTGCCGGCGATTGATGGCGTACCGCACCTCGCCGTTGGCGCCCAGGTCGGGGTCGGTGGCCCGCAGGCGGCAGACGGCGGTGCCCGGCGGCGCATCCTCCCGCAGCCGCGCCCGGTACTCGCCGCGGCTGAAGGCGGGCGCGTTGTCGTTCTCGTCCAGCACCCGCACCGACACCCGCAGGCGGCCGCGTCGCCGCGGGCTGCCGCCGTCCCACGCCTCCACCACCAGCAGGTGGACGTCCGCCCGTTCGCGGTCCAGCCGCCGCAGCAGCACCAGCTCCAGCGGCTCCGGCCGCACATAGCGCAGCTGGAACAGCGGCGGCTCCCCCGCCGCGCCGCCCTCCTCCAGCAGCGCGTAGCCCTGCGTGCCGAAGCCGCCCGCGTCGGGGTCGCGGGCAGCCGGCAGGCGGAAAGCGGTGCCGGGCGGGCTGAGCTCGGAGATGTTGAGCTGCAGACTGTCCTTCGGGAAGCGCGGCGGGTGGTCGTTCACGTCGGTGACAGCGATCTCCACCTGCACCACCTCGCCGCGCAGCGTGGCCGCCGCGAAGCTGTAGCGCGCCCGCCGCTCCCGGTCCAGCCGCCGCGCCGTGCGGATGATGCCCGTCTCCGGCTGGACGTGGAAGTCCGCCAACACCGCCGACTCGCCGCTCCCCTCCGACAGCAGGAAGCCCCCGGGCGGGTCTGAGCCCGGCGGCAGTCCCGCGCGGATGTCACCCACCAGCGTCTCGGCCGGCAGCCCCTCGTCCACTGCCAGGCTGAGGTTATACACCGGCGCCGCGCCGCCGCCCGCCGCGCACAGCCACAGCGGCAGCAGCAGCGCCAGCGCCCGTCCCGTCGGGGGAGCGCCGCCCTGCCCGGCCCGGCACCTGCCCGCCCGCAGCCGCCGCGCCATGCTTGGCCGCTAAGCCGGCATCGCGGGCAGCCCGCGCCCTGCTGCTCGCCACACGCAGGTGCCTCCGCCTCGCCGCCGCGGGAGCGACTCGGAACGCCGCCGCCGGGGATGGGAAGGACGAGCGTGTGCGAGGAGGCGGGAGAGCGGCTCCCGCCGCCGCCGCCCCGCGCAGCCCCCGCCCCGCCGCGCCTCCGCAGCCCTGGGGGGCGGCCGCTTCCCCCGCGCACGGACGTGTCGGGATGGTGTGGCGCTGCTCCGGTGCCGCCCAGGATCCGGAGAAGCCTTCGCCGAAATTGATTACTCGGGGAATCAGCTGGCTTCCTGCTAGTGGGACAAAGCGTGACTAGCGCACGGGCTGCCTCTAGATGCTGAGGCATGGCTCGTGAAGGACAGGAATTTAAATGAAACAGAAATCTGCGAGGATAAACGAGTTTGCACAATTCAGCAAGGATTTGTCTTGCCTTAATATTCTGGTCCTCATTTTCCATTAAAAGGCTTCCTTGTTATCCTAGCACTGAGTCAGTAAATAGCAACTCGGCATGGCAGGGAAGCATTTACCAGAAGTAAGCTTTAAGTAGAAATTTCAATCAGTTTCAGCAAGACTGGAACTTCTTTCCTTTACCACTATTCCTGACTCCCGTATCTATCTCAGAATGGTCTAAGAATGAATAAGTGTTTTTCAATTACACCAAGAATACACAGTGTCATATAAATGCTAAGTACCAGCCATCCATCTATCCATGAAAGCCAAGTACAATACTTTAGTGGTTACTCGTCTCTTGCTGTTCCCACTGATCCTTTACAAACTTAACTTTAGCTTTCAGGCAAGATTTAACAGCTGTTTAGAGAAAAGTAAATTCATCCCAGGACAGACAAGTAAAATCAGGGCAAAGACAGTAAGTAGCAGGAGTTACTATAGCTTAGTCCTCTTCTATGAAGGGGCACTTGACAGGGCAGCTGTTCTACTATTTGCCTCTTTTCCAAGTCATGGAAGAACTACCCAAGTGCACTGCCAGAGCACTCTAAGGAGGGAGCAAACTCACTGCAAGTGAGGAGAAGATGAAGAGGATTTTTTCCCAACATTTTTGAAACCTACATAATACCACATATCTGGGTTAAGAGAGAGAACTAGGTTCTAAAGAAAGTTTAGAAGTCCTACTCCATATGTGTAGTTGCATGGACAGGAGGGGGAACACGTGAGATCACATCCACTGTATCTGACTTGCCTCCTTACACAGATAAACGGGGCAGAGCAAAGCTTAGGTCTTGTCAGATCTTCTTAGGCACATTCTGAGAAAGTCTCTGTATATTTATACACTGTGATAATTACAAGCATAGAAGCAAGAAGGAAATGCAGAGACCCTTGCCAGCTTAGTTCATATTCATTGAGAAAACACATGGATCCTCCCCAAGTCACAGATGTTCAATATGAAAATGCCTGAATTCCACTGAATCACAGCAAGTTTGGAAAAACGGCCATGTCCCTTGCAGCCCATGCTGTCACTAAGAAAACATGTGAATCATGTTCAGTCAGGCACATTCACCAAAAAACTAAACAAAACCTGCTGTTGACATGGTCAGGCAGTGCCTAAAGAGCAAAATTCTGTCTTCAGATACAGCATGCATAAAGATAGCAGGGGAAAAATGAGACTGACGTAGTTATCTGTGGTTCTGGCAGTATCCATGTATTTTGTGAATCTAGGACACTTTAACAGTTTTATATGAAGTAAAGTCATATGAAAGCACTGCCCAACTACAGCATGTTTCCAGAAATACTACATCTTTGGGACACTATGGATGTTTTGCCTATTGTGAGCATGAACTTTACCTCTTAAGTGTTCCTCTACCTTCTTTGCGTTTCTGCCTTCTCTGAGTCTGTTCTTTTTTCTGTTCTTTTCTTAAACATTTTTCTTCCTCTCTTTTGCCATGTTCATGACCTCATTCTTTTCTTCCACAAATCACAAACAGAAGTTTTAAAATCTTAAGGAGATGTTTGCCATCTCCTGGATATATTTAGCTGCCCCTGCTGTTCCCCATCTTCTCAGTGACAGGCTGACCTACACAAAAAAGAGAACTGACAGTTCTAAGACATGATGGGAAGCTGCAGCAATGACATCCCAGGGGAAGCAGGGTGTCAAAGTTTTAGTGCACTAGCCACCTCTGACATGCTCAGTAGATCACTCTCATAGTGAAGACACTTGCCAGCTCCTCAGATCTATGAAGTATTCCACTGTAAAAATTGAGCAGGAGGAGATGCATATTATTTGAAGATGAGTTGGTTAGAGTACACAAAATGCCAAAGCATTTCAGTTTAGAAGGGATTGCCTGTTGGTGAGCCAGCCTGCTCAGTTAGATAGAAGAAAGTTACTTCTCCTGCTGTTCTCCATCCCATTCCTGGAGGTGGCCACCTCTGACTTTGTAGGCAAGTGAACAGCATAGGAATCCACTTTCAAGCCACAGAAGTTTTGAACTCCGTGTCTTCAGGCAACCCTACATGAGCATCCCTCTAATCCAGTATGCAAGGCAGTGAACTCTGGTGCTCCCGAGCAGCTCCACATACCAAATTCAGCTGTCCTATGGCAGGGACCCAACCTCCAGGAAAGGAGCAAGGAAGGAAGCTGGAAGGTGATAGCTGTATCAGCTGCTCAAATTAAATCAGCCCATATTTGCAAATCACAATTTACTATAGCTTAATCCTCCTTGGAATAATTGGAAATTCTTTTTCCTTCACGGAGAATTAAACTATAGCAAACCAAAGTCGGGTATGACACTAGAGTGCAAAAGATCACTGAAACAGAGATAGTGTTGCTACAACCAGGAAGGTCTATCACAACAGAGTTAATTCTGCCTGCAAACATTGCCTCACCCACGCAACAGCTGTGGCAGCTGAAGGTGTGATTCTCCCATGCTGAAGACATGGCTGAGGTGGTAAAGCAGGATGACCACTTCCTTTCCTGCCACTCGCTGGCTCACTGCAGACCATCTTCAGCAGCAGCAGGAGTTTAAGCCAAGGCACCTGACTCGGGCTGACGCAGGGCGGGAGCGCTGCAGGATCCATTCCAGCGCTCATTAGATGGGCGGCAGCAGCCAGCTGAGGGCAGAGCGTGGCTGAACTGCTCCAGACAGAGCTGAAGCAAATAAAATAAAACCTGAAAATTTTTCCATGAAGTTATTTCCTGCTGTTTGAAAACAGCATGGTCTCAGCTGCTTGTTACTGCCTTTCAGCCAGTGTGCACCATGCTTCCATTTCTGCCTACCAGGTGGTGTTCCCTGATCCTCTGTGGGCTTAGTTTAAGGACAGAGATTAGTTTAAGCAATGCTGAAACAATGATTTCCATTAACCCCAGCGATTTTTTTTCCTATGCTGGGTTACAGAACGCCCATATAAATCAGCTTTCTGGCAAAATGGTGGTGTGGGGAAGCACTAATATCTTCAACTATTGCAGCTGGATCTAAGAAAGGATGTTTGTCTCCAGCCTCACTGGCTGGGGTCACTATGGATATTCAGCCTCTAATATGTGATATATGGGGAAAGCATTAACTTTGCAGAGCATCAGGTGTTTCATTATTTATAGTTCCCCAGGCACACATATATTGATTTCAGCAACACCTCCTTGAAGGAGTGTCAGCTGCACAAAAGATTTTCTGGTGACCACATGGAGGCTGGTCACAGTTACTATAATAAAAAGCTATGTAGGGACTGCTCTTCTTATAAATGCAGAGAAATGTAATTAAGAGTATTTTTTTTTCTGGTAGCCATCATTTAACTCTTACTCACATGCTAATTTGCCGAACTCCTTTTGCTGTGAAATAATAGATGCTTTGCCTTCTCTGTGGAAAAATCATGTAGTTGCCAGAATCTGATTGAAAATAATATACCTGAGTTGGTCTTCAAAAGTAGGACAGACTTTAATACAGATAGTAGTAGTGGGGGGGTTTCAGTTTCATTCCAGATATACCACAATGCCTTCACTCCACCTGTAGAGCATGTTGCTGCTGCCTTCTGTGGGCAATTACTTCAGAATTTGTCACTCAGATATAACCATTTAAGGTAGGATTACTGAGATCAATATTTTCACATTAACTTTGTTTCTAGTCCACTTATCTCATATGCTGTCAACCAGACTTAATTGTCTGTCCCAATTTTGTGTTTCCATTTTATGGATCTTCATTAATCTCTTTGCTGTCAATCCCATTCTGTTGCTACACACTTTCCCAGCTGCAAATCCAATCACTTTTCAAGATGATTGCTCAAATATACTTACTTTTGCCTGAAAAGATTGGTTTTGTCCTACACGTTAAATTTATCCCATTATCCACTACAGGATGAGGACATTTCTTGTTATGCACAATATATAACTGATCCTTTATTATGAGCAAAGTTTACAGGAAATATCAAATATTTATTAATTAATTTATTAATTTAATTTTGTTAATATTTAAAAATATTAACATAATTAATTTAATTGTACTAGGTAGGTGTTCATTCAGATTTTGACATCCTAACTAATTTTATATCTATACCTATATTTAGTTTATAAACTTGGTCACTGATTTAATTAATCTAGCAATGAGATTTTATCCAAAAGTAAAAGACCCCATATTTGATAGCTGTTCACTGCCTCATTTGTTATTAACATGATATGGGGTTATCTTTAAAATAGAAAAAAAGGCTTATTTCTTTAGCTGCCTGTTATTCCAACAAGCTGATGCAGATTTGAAGAAATCTCTTTAGGATGACAAAGGGTTCACCCTTACAGGCCAGGAACAAACACGCAAGAGCTTCCCACTACATGGGTTGCAATCCACATAAAGCCGTCCTTTGCCATCTGCTTGCCACTGCTGAATCCAGACCTTGGTGGCCTCTCTAAAACCTGAAAGGTAGCTCCAGAAAGCGTGAAAAAATATATCCCAGGCTGGATTTAATACTCCTTGGATATAATATCTCCCTTGACCACTATGTTGAATTTTCACATAAAATTTATGAGATTATCTACATT